CTCCTTTTGAGGAGTCTGTCCTTGTTTAGAACCTGGAAAGAAAAAAAACAGGTCACCATTTGCGAATGCAGCTCTAAAGATGGGGGCAGCTAGAATCAATATGCTCCCAAGTCGTCCCATTTTCCTTCTGTCTTAGAGTCTAAATATCAGAGAGAAGATATGTATGAATAAATTATATTAAATCTCTTTTCTGTTGATAAACCGTAAGATAATATAGCATCTTTGGTAGTTTTTGTTTTCAAGCACTTGCAAATTCATGATCTTTTTAATTTTACAGCAACCCAATGCTAACATAATGGGAAAGCTCTAAAAAAACATTTTCTTATATTTTTAAACCTTTTTAGTATTATTATAAGTAATAAGGTGTTCATGGTAGAAATTTTGAAAAATGCCAAGAAAACAAAAATCTCTGATATTTCATATACAAGGATAATCATGTGTTAACATTTTGATAAATGTTCTTCTATTAAAAAGTTTTTCCCAGATGTTTGCAGTTTTATAACTGGATTTTTTTTCTATTTAATAAAATTTTTTCCTGACATGATACATTTTTCTAAATCTTTTTTAAAAAACTGCTATATTCCTTTGTATGAATGTGTTCTGTTGTTTGACACTTAGGTTACTTCCAATTTTGCATCACTAAAAATAACGTTATGATGTTATTTTTGTGTGTATCTTGGTTTTCTCAGGATAGATAGAATTACTGGCTCTAAGACATTCTCTTTAAATTTAAGAACAAAGCCAAAATGATAATAGGCAATGTAATTTAATTCCAGTTTGGAGGCTCTAGATTATATTATAAGGAACAAAAATGGGGGAATAGAAGTGGAAAAAGAAGTCATGTGAATAAATTACATTTTAAAGCAGAAGAGTGTATTTCATAAATTAGAAATAAAATCAGTAGAATAAAAGGCTCAGAATTTGCCCCAATTAAATACAAAGCAATGTAGTATATGATGAAATAGGAATCTTAATAACAGGATGAGGGCAGCAGTTTAGCATTTCGAGGGAAGTTGATATACAGCCACATCTTACATCATCAAATTCCAGATGGAGTAAAGAGTTCAGTATTTATTGTCTGCAAGTTAAAAGTATATCTAATCATCAAATATTTGAAGAGGTGTTAATTTTCCTAAATTTTAAAACAGTAGAAGAAAGCACACATACATAGGCCGATTTGGGTGTTTAAAACTTTTGTACAGTGGGAAAAAATAGCTAGAATTGAAGTGAAAATACTTTCTGTGCCAGGATATTTTCACTTGCATAAAGAGCACAGACCAATTGGTCATAAATAGAACACCCAATAGATAAGTGAACATGATGTAATCAAATGAGGGAGGACAGGAAGAGCTGGTATTTTTATTGAGCATTGGCTGTTTGCCAAAATTAAAGTGGAAGGTAATGTTGCTCATATTTGACAGGTGAATTATGTAAAGCCCAAATTAAAACACCGGGTTAACCGATCGAACTAGAATTCAAAGACTGCTCTTTCTCACTATGAAGTATGTGGGGGAAATAGTCAACATTTCTAGTGAACAGAGAAATGTAAATAAAAGCTAACTGAAAGGAAGTTATGACAATTGTTACTGTGTCTGTTGTGAGTAGGAAAACCGAGGCACCAAGCAGCTCAAAATCAAGAGAACAGTAATTGATTTTGGTCTCCAAGGACACTTCATTCTGAAACACATTTTAAATATTTTATTGTCTGGATTTTGCATGTTGTTAACCCTCTATCCTTTATGTGTACATTTTTATCTGCATTGTTTATTTCAGATTGACAGTGTCCCAGAGGTCAGCAAGTGAATGGTTTATTATACAGTTTAGCAAATGCAAAATATATAAACTGTTTTTGAAACTAACTTGCAGTGCAAATGAAAATGTGTTAGAAATAGTATGCATTTTCCTTACAAATTAGAAGTATGGCTATCAAAATAGAGCTACTTATCCATCGGAGTTCTTCCCATGATACATATTTTTAAGTGGCTATCAAAAAGGGTATAGTGATATATTAGGCCATGTGAGTTTATCAGCACTGTGGTATTTTTATTGAGAATGCTTAGATATGTACAATCCTGAGTTTAAATTTTTTACCTTTGATAATGTGAATAACAGCTCAATATTTTGCTTCTGAAAACCTGCATTAAAAAATATAGTAAGTTAATGGAGTCTCAATCTGAGATAGCAGCTTTTCTCAGTATTATTTTCCTTTTAAAATAGATCTCTCTGAGCTTCATTCATCTTTTCTCATTTTTTTTAAATCTCCAAACTTAAACGTACCTATTTTAATCACTCTGCGTCTGTATTTTTGTTGGTTCTTAATTGCTTAGACTTAAGACACTAGAGTCATTTTTTGCTTTTGTTGGTTGTGTTAGTTATTCAGACTTTCTGGGCTTCAGTATACCTCATAAAAATCAAAGGGGTAAGTCACATCATCACTAAAATTTCTGTCTGCTCTAATTGTCTAAGATTCTATAAATAAACAAGTATTTACTAAACACCTACTGTGTATTTATCAATATATGGCCTCTAGTAAGTTCTGAATATTTAAAAAGAAGTTTTGTGTCCTCAAGGGTCTTATAACCTGATGTAACATGTATTGAAATCATCAGAAAAAGGATTACATGGTGTATCCTTAAATGTTAAGTGCTGTAATCAGTTCCCCAAGCGCTTAGGAGCAAGTAGGAGAGAAAGTAAGACTCAGTGAGTTTATGCAGGAAGTAAAACTGAAGTTGAAGATTGTATATGATTTGAAAGTGCATAGTGAAGGATATTCTGTGTTGAGAAGTGTATTTAGCAAGATTCCAAGATTAGTGTGCTTTATGACAGGGAAGAGTCTGACCAGCTACAGGACAAGGCTTAGGCTTAGGGAGTGTGGGGGAAAGTCGGATCAGATGAGGCCATGTTATGTGCATCTTGAAAGTGGGAGAGTAGCTTGGAATTCGTGGTGACAAAGAATTGACTCGGCAGTGAAATGTGGATGAACGAGGGGAGGTGGAGGCAGGTGCTAGCTGGGGAGTTCCGTTGGGAGGAAAACGCTGTTACTGAAGGAAGGAAGAAGATCTGTGGTGACACAGCTGCTAGTCTGCCTCCTTCCCTCGGTCTTAATTTGCAGACATTCAAATTGACAGCCAAATGTGATTTCTCCATTAAAGTGACATAACGGTGTCTTTGAGTTTTTAGAGATTGTTGAAATATCATTTGATAAAAGGTGTGACCAGGGCTTCGTTTTATTTATGTGGCTGAGGCTGCACCTTAAGTGCTGCTACTGTTTGCCTTCGTACATCTGAGACTGAGGTAAACAGTTTGAAGCTCTGAGAAAAGAAAAACTTTTTTTTTTAGTGGTTAAGAAATGTATCAGTGCTCCTTTGTTGAAATGGTCTCCCTATGTAGTTTTTAAAATATTTCTCAAAATAGTTTTGAATTCTGTTATTTTATTATTCTGAGAACATGGCTGTTGAGTTTTCTTACTTAATATGTACTTTAAATGACTTGGTATAATAGTCACTGTGGAAAACTTGTCGCTGTCTTTTTTTTTAATGTATTTTTCCATTTTCTCCTCAAGGCCTAGTAAATGACAAAGACTCAAAAGACTCTATGACAGAAGGAGAAAATCTTGAAGAGGATGAAGAAGAAGAAGAAGGAGGAGCTGAAACAGAAGAACAATCTGGAAATGAAAGTGAAGTCAATGAACCAGAAGAAGAGGTGATGACTTTTATTTATAGCAGATCGGTACTTTTGTACAAGTGATTCTGTGAGCCAAGGTTTTCTTTAATGTATAAAATAAGATCTCTCCCTTAGTTTTATTAGAATAAATGTAACGACTAGTATAGATCTATTATAAAACCCTGATTAAATAATTAAGAGGGTTTTTTAATAAGAAAATGCTGATCATAGGATTTTAAAAAAATTACTGTTATTATTACTGTTTTCCCCTTGGGTGGAAGGTAATTAGATTTTTTTTTTTCTTTCTTTCTTTTAACAGAGGTACTGGGGATCGAACCCAGGACCACATGCATGCTAAGCATACCCTCTACCACTGAGCTATACCCTCCTGACCCCCAAATTACTACTATTAAGACCTTTTTTCAGAGCAGCTTTAGGTTCACTGCAAAATTGAGGGGAAGTTGCAGAGATTCCTCGTATACCGCCTGTTCCTCCTCAGTCACACAGCCTGTCCCCCATTATCAGCATCTCCCACCAAAGTGATGCATTTGTTACAGTTGATGAACCTACACTGTCATCACCCAGAATCCCTCGTTTATATTACAGTTTACTCTTGGTGGTGTACTGTGTATGGGTTTACCTGAATGTGTATGATGACGTCTGTTCATCAGTATAGTTAGGATTTTTATTTAATAAGCAATCTGAAGGAAAAATTGATCTGCTGTGTATCTTAATACCACTTTTGAATTTGGATTTTTTAATTTACATGTTTTATGATAAAATTACTAATTAGATATTAATCACTTTATTTTTCCCAGATCTAATGGCATATGAAATCTGAAAATCATGTACCGTAATCATTGATGAGCCCTTTTGTTTTTACAACTCTGCTAGGCCAAACCATGTGAAATGACTCTTTTATCATTTTGGACCTACCAGAAAGTCATTTTCATATGGTTCAACCTAATAGTTTTAATTCTTTCCCTTTTTCTTCTACACCTACTTAAAAGTTCCATCTAAAATAATAGTACCTAGAATTTGCTTCATAATCTGGACGTAGGCTGGGGAGTGAGTGAGGGATATAGAAGAAACTGTAAACTGGCCCTGAGCTAATAATTGTTAAGTTGTGTAATAGGGAAGTAAGGATTCGTTATGCTGTTCTATCGACATTTATATATATATTTAAATTAGACAATTAAGAAAGTAAAAAGCAGGATGAATAAGAACAGCAATAAAATACTAACGAATATGAAATTTAAACCGTGGAATTAGCACTTTTTCACTTGTTTTAGTTTAAGTGTAAGCTTATAATTATGATTTTATGTGTATGTTTTTTTTTGTGTGTTCCTTGAGTGCTTAAAGCATTTAGGAAAGTGTGATTTTAATTAAATATTGAAAAAGTTTAGATTGGTAGTCAATATTTAAATGTTTTGGTGAAATTGAATTTAACTTTTTAAGTTTTGATTTATTTGAGTAAATAGAATGTAAATAGAGAATGTGGGTTGTTTAATGTATGAAGGAATGTTAATTACTGAAGGCATTCATAAGATAGATTCATAAACTGGATTTTTAAAAAGCTTCATTTAGAATGAAAGAAAAATGACCCGTAATTTAAAATTTCTACAGTTAAAAGTAAAAATCCTTAAATCTTTGTTTCTTTCAGCCCTGAAGTTCTGTAGCTGTTAATGAACATTTCATGTGATTTGACTACATAGCAAATAGCATTATTGTTAATTAAAAACGAAGGATTATGGGGGAGAGGGTATAGCTCAAGTGGCAGAGTACATGCGAGATCCTGGGTTCAATCCCCAATAGTACCTCCATTAAAAAAACAAATTAAATATAAGTAAATAAACCTAATTACCTTCCTCCCCACCCCTGCAAAAAACTAAAAAAAACCCCACAAACAAATGATTGTGTAACAGGCAACATAAACAATAATGTATGACTTCTGTAACAGGCTAGCATTTGTAGACAGTAGAAATATATGCACTTTTATGTTATTATTTTGCTACCATTTTTTCCCAGTTTTATTGATACGACTGATACAACATTGTATTAAAGGTGTACATATGATTTGATACATACTTTATATATATATGGATATAGAAATGACTAACATAAGTTTCGTTAACATCCATCACCTCACATAGTTGCAAGCGCTTTTTTCTTGTGATGAGAACTTTTACTATCTACTGTTTTAGC